ACTACTAGTACTTACTACTACTACTACTACTACTAGTACTACTACTACTACTAGTACTACTACTACTACTACTAATAGTACTACTACTAATACTACTACTACTACAACTAATACTACTACTACTACTACTACTACTATTACTACTACTACTAGTACTACTAATACTACTACTACTACTAGTACTACTACTACTACTAGTACTACTAATACTACTACTACTAGTCCTACCAATACTACTACTACTACTAGTACTACTACTACTAGTACTATTACTAATACTACTACTACTACTACTACTACGACTACTACTAGTAATACTAATAGTACTACCAGTGCTACTACTAATACTACTAGTACTACTACTACTAGTACTTCTACTACTACTACTACTAGTATTATTACTAATACTATTAGTACTACTACTACTACTAGTAATACTACTACTACTAATACTACTACTACTACCACCAATACTACTACTACTACTAGTAGTACTACTACTACTACAAGTATTACTACTACTACTAGTACAAGTATTACTACTAATACTACTACTACTACTACTAGTACTACCACTAGTACTACTACTACTACTATTACTACTACTACTAGTCCTACCAATACTACTACTACTACTACTAGTACTACTACTACTACTACTAGTCCTACCAATACTACTACTACTACTACTAGTACTACTACTACTACTACTAGTCCTACCAATACTACTACTACTACTACTACTAGTACTATAACTAATACTACTACTACTACTACGACTACTAATAGTAATACTAATAGTACTACCAGTGCTACTACTAATACTACTAGTACTACTACTACTAGTACTTCTACTACTACTACTACTAGTATTATTACTAATACTATTAGTACTACTACTAATACTACTATTAATACAACTACTACCACTACTACTACTACTACTAGTATTACTACGACTACTAGTACTACTACCACTACTAGTACTAATACTACTAGTACTACTACTACTACTAGAATTACTACTAGTACTACTATTAGTACTAGTAGTACTAATACTAATACTACTAGTAACACTACTACTATTAATCCTAATTTTACTAGTACTACTACTAATACTAGTACTACAACTAATACTATTACTACTACTACTACTACTAGTACTAATATCATTATAACTAATAATACTACTACTAATACTACTAGTACTACTACAATTACTACTACTAGTACTACTTCTACTATTAGTACTAATACTACCACTAATAGTATTACTACTAGTATACTACTACTAATACTATTACTACTACTACTTCTAGTACTACTACTACTACTAATAGTATTACTAATAGTATACTACTACTACTACTAGTACTACTACTACTATTAATACTACTATTAGTCCTACCAGTACTACTAATACTAGTAATACTACTACTACTACTGGTATTACTAATACTGCTACTAATACTAGTACTACTATTACTAATATTAATATTACTAATACTAGTACTACTACTACTACTAGTACTACTACTACTAGTATACTACTACTACTACTATTACTAATACTACTACTACTACTGCTAGTATTACTACTACTATTACTAATACTACTCCTACTAATAGTACTAATACTACTACTAGTACCACTACTACTACTAATTCTACTATTCCTACTACTAGTATTACTACTAATACTAGTACTATTACTACTACTAGTACTACTACTACTACGACTACTACTAGTACTACTACTAGCACTACCAGTGCTACTACTAATATTACTAGTACTACTACTACTAGTACTACTACTAATACTACTACTAGTACTACTACTAGTACTACTACTACTCCTATTACCACTACTACTATTCCTACCAATACTAATACTACTACTAATAGTACTAATATTATTACTAGTATTACTAACACTACTACTACTAGTACTCCTAATAATAGTACTAATAGTACTACTAATAATACTACTATTACTACTAGTACTACTACTACTACTACTACTAATACTAGTACTACTACTAGTAATACTACTACTAGTACTACTATTACTAGTACTACTACTAGTATACTACTACTACTACTACTAGTAATACTACTTCTATTTCTAGTACTACTACTAATACTAGTACAACTAGTACTACTACAACTACTACTAATAATACTACTACTAATATTACTACTACTACTACTACCAGTACTACTACTAGTACTACTACTAATACTACTACTGATACTACTACTACTGCTACTACTAGTACTACTACTACTACTAGTAATACTACTACTAATACTTCTACTACTACCACCAATACTACTACTACTAGTACTACTAGTAGTACTACTACTACTACAAGTATTACTACTACTACTAGTACAAGTATTACTACTACTAGTACTACCACTAGTACTACTACTACTACTAGTCCTACCAATACTACTACTACTACTAGTACTACTACTACTACTACTAGTCCTACCAATACTACTACTACTACTACTAGTACTACTACTACTACTACTAGTCCTACCAATACTACTACTACTAGTACTACTACTACTAGTACTATTACTAATACTACTACTACTACTACGACTACTACTAGTAATACTAATAGTACTACCAGTGCTACTACTAATACTACTAGTACTACTACTACTACTATTACTACTACTACTATTCCTACCAATACTAATACTACTACTAATAGTACTAATATTATTACTAGTATTACTAATACTACTACTACTACTAGTACTACTAATAATAGTACTAATACTACTACTAATAATACTACTACTACTACTAGTACTACTACTACTACTACTACTAATACTAGTACTACTACTAGTACTACTACTACTAGTACTACTACTACTACTACTACTACTAGTACTACTACTACTACTAGTAATACTACTACTACTTCTAGTACTACTACTAATACTAGTACAACTACTACTACTACAACTACTACTAATAATACTACTACTAATATTACTACTACTACCAGTACTACTACTAGTACTACTACTAATACTACTAGTACTGATACTACTACTACTGCTACTACTAGTACTACTACTACTACTAGTAATACTACTACTACTAATACTACTACTACTACCACCAATACTACTACTACTACTACTACAAGTATTACTACTACTACTACTACAAGTATTACTACTACTACTACTAGTACTACCACTAGTACTACTACTACTACTATTACTACTACTACTAGTCCTACCAATACTACTACTACTACTAGTACTACTACTACTACTAGTCCTACCAATACTACTACTACTACTACTACTAGTCCTACCAATACTACTACTACTACTAGTACTACTACTACTAGTACTATTACTAATACTACTACTACTACTACTACGACTACTACTAGTAATACTAATAGTACTACCAGTGCTACTACTAATACTACTAGTACTACTACTACTAGTACTTCTACTACTACTAGTATTATTACTAATACTATTAGTACTACTACTAATACTACTATTAATACAACTACTACCACTACTACTACTACTAGTATTACTACGACTACTAGTACTACTACCACTACTAGTACTAATACTACTAGTACTACTACTAATACTACTAATACTACTACTACTACTACCACTACTACCACTAGTACTACTACTAGTACTATTACTACTACTAATAATACTACTCCTACTACTAGTACTACTACTAATACTAATACTAATACTACTACTACTAGTACTACTACTACTAGTACTACTCGTACTAGTACTACTCGTACTACTACTACTAATAGTACTACTACTACTACTACTAGTAATACTACTACTACTAATAGTACTAATACTACTACTGCTACTAATAATAGTACTACTACTGCTACTAGTACTACTACTACCACTACTACTACTACTACTAGTACTACTACTAGTACTACTACTACTACTAGTACTACTTCTACTACTAGTACTACTACTACTAGTACTACTACTACTCCTAGTAATATTACTACTAATACTACTAATACTACTACTAGTACTACTATTACTACTAGTACTACTACTACTACTAGTACTACTACTACTAATACTACTACTAATACTATACTACTACTACTTGTAATACTACTAATACTACTTATATTACTACTACTACTCGTACTACTACTAGTACTACTACTACTACTAGTACTACTACTACTACTACTAGTACTACTACTAGTACTACCAGTACCACTACTAATATTACTAGTACTAATATTGATACTAATAGTACTACTACTACTAGTACAACTGCTACTACTAGAATTACTACTGGTACTACTATTAGTACTAGTAGTACTAATACTAATACTACTAGTAACACTACTACTATTAATCCTAATTTTACTAGTACTACTACTAATACTAGTACTACAACTAATACTATTACTACTACTACTACTACTAGTACTAATATCATTATAACTAATAATACTACTACTAATACTACTAGTACTACTACAATTACTACTACTAGTACTACTTCTACTATTAGTACTAATACTACCACTAATAGTATTACTACTAGTATACTACTACTAATACTATTACTACTACTACTTCTAGTACTACTACTACTAATAATAGTATTACTAATAGTATACTACTACTACTACTAGTACTACTACTACTATTAATACTACTATTAGTCCTACCAGTACTACTAATACTAGTAATACTACTACTACTACTGGTATTACTAATACTGCTACTAATACTAGTACTACTATTACTAATATTAATATTACTAATACTAGTACTACTACTACTACTAGTACTACTACTACTAGTACTACTACTACTACTATTACTAATACTACTACTACTACTGCTAGTATTACTACTACTATTACTAATACTACTCCTACTAATAGTACTAATACTACTACTAGTACTACTACTACTACTAATTCTACTATTCCTACTACTAGTATTACTACTAATACTAGTACTATTACTACTACTAGTACTACTACTACTACGACTACTACTAGTACTACTACTAGCACTACCAGTGCTACTACTAATATTACTAGTACTACTACTACTAGTACTACTACTAATACTACTACTAGTACTACTACTAGTACTACTACTACTCCTATTACTACTACTACTATTCCTACCAATACTAATACTACTACTAATAGTACTAATATTATTACTAGTATTACTAACACTACTACTACTAGTACTCCTAATAATAGTACTAATAGTACTACTAATAATACTACTATTACTACTAGTACTACTACTAATACTACTACGACTATTAGTACTACTACTACTAGTACTACTTCCACTAGTACTACTACTAATACTAGTACTAATACTACAACTACTACTACCAGTAGTACTACCAGTACTACTACTACTATCACTGATACTACTACTACTATTGCTACTACTAGTACTACTACTACTACTAGTGCTACTACTACTAATACTAGTACTATTACTACTACCACTACTACTAGTACTACTACTACTAGTACTAGTACTACTAGTATTACTACTACTACTTTTCTACTAGTACTACTACTACCACTAGTACTACTACTACTACTACTATTAGTAATACTACTACTACTTCTAGTACTACAATTAATACTAGTACTACTACTACTACTACAACTACTACTAGTACTACTACTAGTACTACTACTACTCCTATTACTACTACTACTATTCCTACCAATACTAATACTACTACTAATAGTACTAATATTATTACTAGTATTACTAACACTACTACTACTACTAGTACTCCTAATAATAGTACTAATATTACTACTAATAATACTACTATTACTACTAGTACTACTACTACTACCACTACTAATACTAGTACTACTACTAGTAATACTACTACTAGTACTACTACTACTAGTACTACTACTAGTACTATGAGTACTACTACCACTACTACCAGTACTAATAACACGACTACTACTACTAGTACAACTACTAGTACTACTAGTAATACTACTACTACTACTACTACTAGTAATACTACTAGTAATACTACTACTACTATTACTACTACTACTAGTACTACTACTACTAGTACTACTACTAATACTACTACTAGTACTACTACTAGTATACTACTACTAATAAAATTACTACTACTACTGCTACTTCTACTACTACTACTAGTACTACTATTACTACTAGTACTACTACTAATACTACTACTAGTACTACTACTAGTACTACTACTACTCCTATTACTACTACTACTATTCCTACCAATACTAATACTACTATAAATAGTACTAATATTATTACTAGTATTACTAACACTACTACTACTACTAGTACTCCTAATAATAGTACTAATAGTACTACTAATAATACTACTACTACTACTAGTACTCCTCCTACTACTACTACTAGTACTACTACTAATACTACTACGACTATTAGTACTACTACTACTAGTACTACTTCCAATAGTACTACTACTACTACTAGTACTAATACTACTACTACTACTACCAGTACTACTACTAGTACTACTACTACTACTAGTACTACTAGTACTACCACTAGTACTACTACTAGTACTACTACTAGTACTATTAATATTACCACCATTACTACTAGTAGTACTAATACTAATACTACTAGTGCCACTACTACTACTAGTACTACTACTACTAGTACTACTACTACTACTAGTACTACAACTAATACTATTACTACTACTACTATTACTAGTACTAATATTATTATAATTAATATTACTACTACTAATACTACTACTACTACTAGTACTCCTCCTACTACTACTACTAGTACTACTAGTAATACTACTACGACTATTAGTACTACTACTACTAGTACTACTTCCACTAGTACTACTACTATTACTAGTACTAATACTACTACTACTACTACCAGTACTACTACCAGTACTACTACTACTACTATCACTGATACTACTACTACTATTGCTACTACTAGTACTACTACTACTAGTGCTACTACTACTAATACTAGTACTATTAATACTACCACTACTACTAGTACTACTACTACTAGTACTAGTACTACTAGTATTACTACTACTACTTTTCTACTAGTACTACTGTTACGACTAGTACTACTACTACTACTACTACTAGTAATAATACTACAAATTCTAGTACTACAATTAATACTAGTACTACTACTACTACAATTAATACTAGTACTACTACTACTAGTACTATTACTACTAGTACTAATACTACTACTATTACTAATAGTACTACTAATAACACTAGTACTACTACTAATACTAGTACTAATACTACTAGTACTACTACTACTACTACTAGTACTACTACTACTACTACTACTAATACTAGTACTACTACTAGTACTATGAGTACTATTACTACTACTACCAGTACTAATAACACGACTACTACTACT